GGGTTGGGTCCAGAGTCAAAAGCAACAATCCATCTAGGCACAGTGAGTCGCAGGCCACAGACTGATACAGCAAAGTCCAGGGGCACACGCCAGCAATTCAGGGACTTTACCTACTCATCACGGATCCTTCGGAGGGCTGTGTTGTCCTAGCCGCAGATTCAAGACCACACAGGTAACAGTTGCAGGAAGAGCGGGGAGGAGAGCAGAGTCCCAGTGTCCAGGAAGCCACATAGACCATTTGAAACTACAAGTCCCAGCAGTTCAGAAAGCAAAGCACAACCCATACAAGACTATCTTACTCACTTGCAGCCCTCAGCTCCTGTGTGTTCATCACAGGAGTAAACTCAGAGAAAGGTCTGAGCCTTTCTGCCAGTATAGGGACATTATATTGTCCCTTCAATTCAAGCAAACCTCAAGCACCCGGTGCCGACACATCTGGCTTTATCCAGCTACAGGACACTGTGCTGTCTGTGCCTCCTGCTGAGATCAACCTCATCTCCCACCAACTGTTGGGCACAGGAACGCCTAGATTTAATTAATCACTTGCCCTCCAGAGGATTTACCCCCCTTAATGACCAGGCTTCTTTTTGCTACTCGGATCTGCACTAATTCAACTGATAATTGCGTGGTCATGCAATGCTGTACGCAATTTACGTCCTTTTTTTCAAACAAATAGAGCTTTCTTTCAGTGGTATTTGATCTCCTGTGTGCTTTTTGATTTTCGCTCTATAAACGAAAAAAATGACGGAAAATTTTGAACAAAAACAATGTTTTTTACTTTCGGCTATAAAAAAATATAAAGTAAACTCAAAGTTAGTTATAAATTTAGACCAAAATGTATTTTGCTACATGTTTTTTGGTAAAAACAATCCCAATAAGTGTATATTGATTGCTTTGTGTGAAAGTTACAGCGTCTACAAACTATGGTATAGATACTACAATTTACGCCATTTTTTTGCTATACAGCAGTGCACTAGTTTAACTGACAATTGTGCAGTCATGCAATACGGTACATAAATAAAATTTATGTCCTTTTTTCACATAAAATAGAGCTTTCTTTTGGTAGTATTTGATCACCTGTGCACTTTTTATTTTTAATGCTATAAACAAAACATTTTTGAGAAAAAAACATTTTCGTAAAAAAAAAATAATATTTTCTTATTTCTGTCATAGAAAATATCCAAAAAACTAAAATTTAATCATAAATGTAGGCCAAAATGTATTCTGCTACATGGTTTTGGTTACAAAAATCCCAATAAGTGTATATTTATTGCTTTATGTGAAAGGTATAGCATCTACAAACTATGGTATAGATAATGGAATTTACACAGCTTTTCCTTTCTGACTGCTCATCACATTTCTTGAGGTGCTAAACTACCAGGACAGTACAAACACCCCAAAATGACCCCTTTTTGGAAAGTAGACACCCTAAGCTATTTGCTAAGAGGCATATTGAGTCCATGGGAGATTTATTTTTTTCCACGAGTTTCTGGAAAATTACAAAAATTTTTTTTTTTTACACAAAGTTGTCATTTAAATGATATATTTCTCACACAAGCCATGGGTATATGTGGAATTACACCCTGAAATACATTCTGCTACTTCTACCGAGTATGGGGATACCACATGTGTGAAGGGAGCCTAGCCACATACAGGAGCCTGAAATCCAATGACTACTTTGAAAGCCTGAAGGTGCATAACTTCCTCATTTCACTTCCTCACTACCTATCACAGTTTCGAAGGCCCTGACATGCCAGGATAGCACCAAACCCCCTAAAATGACCCCTTTTTGGAAAGTAGACACCCCAAGGAATTTAAAAAGAGGTATGGTGAGTATTTTACAGATCTCATTTTTTTTCTCACAAGGTTTTGAAATATAAAAAAAGAAAAGAAAAAATGTTTTTGTTTTTGTTATTCATTTTCCAAAAACGTGTGGCAACAAATGAGATCTGCAAAATATATTCACCATGCTCCTTATCAAATTCCTTGGGGTGTCTACTTTCCAAAAAGTGGTAATTTTGTGTGTGTGGGGGGGGGGGGGGAGGTGGTGCTATCCTGGCATTTCAGGGCCTCCGAAACTGTGATAGGTAGTCAGGAAATGTAATGAGGAAATATAGCCCTTTAAAAGCCTGAAGGTGCTTATTGGATTTTGGGGTCCTGTACTTGGCTAGACTGCCAAAACGTCTCTCACATGTGGTACCCCCATACTCGGGAGAAGTATCAGAATGCAATTTGGGGAGTAATTCCACATATACCCATGGAATGTGTGAGCAATAAATCATGTAATTGACAATTTTGTGTAAAAAAAAAAATAAAAAAAGTTTTTGTTTGTCATTTTCCAAAAACTTGTGGTAAAAAAATAAATTCTTCTATTGATTCAACATGCCTCTCAGCAAATAGTTTGGGGTGTCTACTTTCCAAAAAGGGGTTGTTTTGGGGGGTGGGGGCATTTTATGCCCAGTATTAGAAGTTTATGCCACACATCACTCACTCTTCTAATCACTGAAGATCAAGCCTTTTCTGACACTTTTTGTTCACATGAAAAAAAACTATTTTTTGCTAGGAAATTAATTGAAACCCCAAACATTATATATGTTTTTAAAGGAAACACCCAAGTGAATAAAATAGCGGGTACTGCAATTTTTTATGTCACATAGTACTCGCACAGCGAATTTTCAAACGCAATTTGTTTAAAAAGTACACTTTTTTTTACTTTTAATGCACAAAAACACTAAATATTGGCCAATTATTTGGTAAAATATAAAAGATGATGGTATGCCGAGTATATAGATACCAAACATGACATGCTTTAAAACTGTGCATGCCACGTACAATGGCAACAAACTGCATACGTTTTTAATATCCATAGGCAATGTTTTTAAAAGCTACAATTTTAGATTTACACAGGAGGTCTAGTGTTAGAATTACTGCCCTTGATCTGACGTTCGTGGCGATACCTCACATGCATGGTGCAACTGTTGTTTCCATGCTGGCACAGGGTCAAGGCTCACGAGCGGGGGTAAGGGAACTTTTTTTTTTTTAAGTTATTTTGACTTTTTAAATTATTTTTACACTGTCCCTTTAATTTTTTTTTAATCACTTTTAATGCTATCACAGGGAATGCAAATATCCCCTATAACTTCAATGGGCATTGTCATATATTCTTTTTTGAGAAATCTGGGGTCTATCAGACTCTAGATATCTCCTCTGCCCTTACATTATCTAATCAAACCAAGATCGGTGTGATCAGATACTTTCCCAATTTACAAATGGCGCTGTTTATATCCTGCAAAACTGAAGTGATGAAACGTTCATAGCTTCTGATTTCTTAGGCTATAGAGATGATTGGCACCATTCTGGTTTCCAATCAGCTCTATGGTCAGCTGGCAAAAACAGCTGCATTCTCAGGTTCCCCCGATGGCATGGGACTGCCCGAGAAGGCTGTGGAAGGTAGCGGGGGAGGGGGGGCATTTTCTCCCGCTGCTTGTAAAAGCAATCCTGCAGCTAATTAGCCTCTAAGATTGCTTTTACATGAAAGCCGATCGCCAGCTGAAAAAAATTCCAGGATGATGCCTGCAGCTGTAGGCTTCATCTTGGTATAACCATTCAAACTCCAGTGATGTACCAGTACGTCACTGGTCCTTGTTGGGTATATATGCTATGTTCTATTTTTTTTGTATTCAGCCTGTGGACTGAATGAAAAAGAAGAGAAGAAATCTCTGCCAAAAAAAAAAAAAATGTGTGGTATGCCCACCATTAAAATATACCGCCCTGCATCCACCCACTTCTAATGGTGGGCACACATTAGGTCACAGTTTGCCACATGCGCCAGTTCCAAGATTGTACAAATGTCTAAATAGTGGAACGCTTGAATAAAAATTGTCCACGTATAAATGGTACCCCATATGGAAAAAGGATGACGCCAAGTCCCAAACTATCTTGCCACTACTCCCCAAGTAGTCTGGGCATTCATGTGACTATCTTTTCCCTCATAAATCTGAAACTTAGTATAGCCTGTTGCCCTCTCACAGGTCTTACAATATCTGGCACGCTTGCTGGGGAGAAATTATTTGAATGTAAGGCGGCCAGAAAAATTGAGGGACTCATCAACGCAGATTTTTTGCTGGGGAGTATAGACATCTGCAAATTTTTGGTTAAGGCGATTTATGAGGGGCCGAAGTTTGTGTAGCCGGTCAAATTCAGGGTCACCCCGAGGACGACAGAGTGTATTGTCATTGAAATGCATAAAACACATTATACTCTCATATCTATGCCTGGCCATGGCAGCAGGGAACACAGGCATATGATGAATCGGGTCTGAGGACCAATACAACTGCAATTCATTTTTTTTTAGTAAATGCCTATGTTGAGGGTTAGGCCCCCAAAAAATATAAATTCGAAAACCGTAATGGGTTTCCATATGAATGGTCTGGCAAGGTTTGAATTTGGGTTGGCGGCGATACATTGTTGTGCATATAAAATGCTTTGATCCACAATCAATGCATACAGATCGTCCGTGAAAAACAGCTCCAAAAAATCAAGGGGAGTAGTTTAATTTGCTATTTCCACCTGAATTCTGGGTTGGGCAGTGAATGGGGGAAGTACGGGTGCTGCAGAATTTGTGGACTGTCAATCGGGATTTGCAAGCACATCCAGAAGCATACTAGGGGCTCTATGGGCCTGTGTGCGAATTCTTGGTGCTTGCGGGACAATACTCATGCTCGCCACCGTACCAGCTTGTACTACACTTATGGAACTCGCCACATCACCAAGTCATACTGCAGTGCTGGTATTATTATTATTATACAAGATTTATATAGCGCCAACAGTTTGCTCTGCACTTTACAATGTAATGGGACACAATACAGCAACAATACAGTTCAATATAATAGGGTTAGGAGGGCCCTGCCTCTTGGAGCTTACAATCTAAGAGGTATGTGAAAGACTAGATGTACTAGACCGCTGGTGCTCGCCAGTTCACCAAAATGTAGAGCAGCACTAGTACTGGCACCAGGGACGGACTGACCATTCGAGAACTTGGGCACTGCCCGAGGCCCGGGGTCAGTAGGTGGCCCCATGAGATGCCCCTGGTACCTTTCATAGGCTTTTTTGGGTGTGGTTTGAGTGTGGGAGAGGACACAGGGGCCCCATGATCCCCTATTGCCTGGGGGCCCCATGAGTTGTCAGTCCGCCCCTGACTGGCACTCTGCTGCATATGAGAGTCATCCAAATTTACCGGCAAGTGCTAACAGAGATCAGGCCTGATTCTGGGAACACTGCGGTTTTGTGTGCAATGTATCAAGTGACAGTGACCTACTGGCACTGCACTTGCTGGGGGAGAATGGGGGGTAAGCATAGGGGCTAAACGCAGATGCTGGCAGGTGCAAGGGCTGATCCTGCTAATGCTGCATTTTTGGGGGCACTATACTAATGTGAACGCTGGTATAGTGCTGATCTGTTCAAAGATATTGATCCGTTCAGACACTATACTAGCAATGGAGGTTTATTGTGTATGAGCGTCTTCCTAGCAATCAAGGGGTTAAATGTGATGACTGGTGTACTGACGGGCAATCTGATGCTATCTAGGAGGGGCGTGAAAACCATGGGAGCGCGAATCACGTATATATATGCTATAGGGTGGTCAGGAAGTGGTTACATAAGCGGTTTGTGTTACGGCGCTGCGTTACTTTAACTGACAATTCCGCAGTCATGCAACTCTGCACTAAACTTAAATTTAGATCCTTTTTTCCACATGAATTAGGCTTTCTTTTGGTGGTATTTGATCGCCTGTGCGTTTTTAATTTTTTTGCGCTATAAAAAAAAGTCTGACAATTTTGAGAAAAAAAAAAACAATATTTTGGACTTTTTGCTATAAAACATGTCCACTAAAAAAAAATGTTAAAATTTTGTCATAAATTTCTACCAAAATGTATTATGCGACAGGACATGAAAAAAAATCCCAATACGTGTATATTATATTGTATATAGCATTTACAAATGGCGGTATATATATACTGGATTTTTTTTAATATACTAATAATGGCGATCAGCGACTTATGACGGCAATCAGCGACTTATGGTGGTGATCAGCGACTTATGGCGGGACTGCAGCGGACATTCTGACACTGGGGGGGGACTGATTTGGGGTCACTGACATCCCCAGTGACACCAATACAGTGATCAGTGCAAAAAAAAAAAAAAAAACACTGACACTGTACTAATGGCACTGGGGAGGAAGGGGTTAACTTTTGGAGATAATCAAATGGTTAATTGTGTGAGGGGAGTGTTTTACTAGGAGTCGAAGGTGTGTACCTCTCTGTTACACACTGTTCCGGAAGGCTGAGCTTAGCGACCCCGGAACAGTGTGCTGAAAGCTGACAGGGAGGAGAGCTTCATTGAAAACAATCCAGCCTTCCTCTCTGTCTGTGATTGCTGGCAATCGCCGGGCTCCGGCGGGTAATCACCGGCTGGGACACGGTGATTGACACACGCAATCGGTGTCGCGGGTAGGACAGTCGCACGCCTCGCACGCGCCCCCTATCCGGAATGCAGGATCATGTTTATATGCGTGATCCTGCACACAGGGGCCGCCTTGCAGCAGTATATGTACTGTGGGTGGTCCCCTAGTGGTTAAGTAGACAAACTGACTGCTTGACAAACTGTTGAGTTCAACAAAATAACCCAAAAATAAAATAATATTTCTGCTCTCTTTCACAGATATCAATAGCTGCTGTCCCTTGGCATCCCAGCTGCTGGCCCATGAGGGACAACTCCATACCCCCCTTTACCCCCCCCCCCATTCTCTGTCCGTCCCAGGTAAGCATTCCCCTCCCTTCTCATCCTTCATCTCTGCCTTTCCTTGATTTCCTTCTCTGCATTTCTCATTTCTCTCCCTTACTTTAGTACTTATTTTATGAACCATTCCCTATCTCTGTTTAATTTTTTTGTGTGTAGAGTGATGTACATTGCATCAATAAGATTTGAAATAACCCCTTGTATATCCATCTCTACTGAAAGAGACTGATGACCCAAAAACAGCCTCTCCTGACTGCTGGGATTTCAAATCAGAAATGACAACAAAGGCTGCAGACCCATTAAGGCTCACAGTCACAGGAAAGTCACATGAGGAAAGTGGAAAAGAAAGCACTGGACCCATAGGGTTATCTCACTGATATTGCTATCCTAAAGTATTTATGCTGATGTAAATGATCTGGTTCCCTGGCAAGGAGCTTCTATACCCCAGAGGATCTCCACGATCTTCTTGGCTTGTAGTGCAATGTAACAAAAATTGAAATTGAAGCACCATACCACTACTAAGAGGTTCAGAAGCAATGTTTTACCCTTAAAAGTCAAAGGGACAATCCAAAAGGTAGCCAACACGTTTTGGGGGTCAAAGAGCATCCCCTTCATTGGGGCTTGATTTGGCTGCCAAACCAGCTGTTGACAAGGCCTGTGCTTATAATCACACTGGAAAAAATAACACTAAAGGTCCAGTTCACTTCTATTTTTTTTCACATTGTTGTCAATCAAGACTTGATGAAGCAAGGAGCACTCTTGGACCCCCAAAACGCATTGGCTACTTATTGGACTGTCCCACTGACTTATCGAGATAAAGTTATATCTGGACCTCTTAGCAGTGTTGTGGTGCTTTAATTTCACATTTTGTTACAAGAGGGTCAGAGCGCTCTGTGGTCAACACAGTACACAGAGGTCTAGAAAGTGCTACAATGCAGAGCACACTGTATGAAGTTCACATTCCAGATTACCCTGCAGTATTTCAGTACAGCGGGATCCGGGTGCAACCTCAACCAATCCACTGCTGCTGTATAGAGACAGTTCAAGCAGGGTTTTTGAAGTCTTGGTTTGAAGAAAAAATGTCTACAGTGTACTGAGTATCTTCATTGAATCCAAAATAAAAGGAAAAATAATAATAAAAAGCTAGCAAAAAACTAAGCCGTAATGATTAAAGGTATGGAGGATGGCCTTCAATTTTTTTTTCTGTTTGCCAGTTTGAACCTACTGTAGTCATCAGCATGTAACCCAATTGATTCAAAATTCCTGTATCCCTCTATAAATGAGAAAGAAAAAAATATTTTCAGCAGAATGCATTTGTTTCTAGTAGTGCAATTCACAACTTTCATTTCTAACTTGAACCTGATTTAGGTTTATGTGTAACAGTTAAACAAAAGTTGCTTTGTAGAGTTACATCCATATGGTCCATTCATCGCTCGCTGCCGGATTTCTTGTAAATCAGAAATTCTACTTGTTTTCCAATCTTCTATTTGCAGTTAATGAAGAGATTGTTGGGCCATACTCTTGAGAACAGATGTTAGAAAATGCATCTGACAGAGTCTCTGTAGGAGCAAGATTTGGAACATGTGTCAACATCTTTGTTCCCTGCAAGCAGTAAATTATTTACTGTCTGTACATAAACACACAGATTGTCTTATTTTCGGTTTTATTTAAATTCTGGTTTTAGTGCCTGGGCCTGCTAAACAACTGCATTTTAGCTTTACCCAACCATTTTCCAATATTGAAGTATCTTAAAACATTGTTCAGATTTAACCACTTGCCGACCAGCCACTGTAAAAAAACGGTGACAGGGCAGCACCGCTGCGCAAAATTTTAAAACGTCATTTTGCAAAACAGGTAGGGGGCGTGTGCGAGGTGAGCGACCACCCTACCCGTGCCGCCAATCGCGGCCGTCAATTACCGGGTGCCAGCGATTGCAAACAGTGACACAGAGCGCAGCTGCATTGTTTTCAATGCAGCTCTGCTCCCTGTCAGTTCCCAACACACTGTTCCTGAGAGCGGAGTTTAGCTCTCGGGATCAGTGTGTTCCTGTGAAGTACACACCCCCCACCCACTAGTAAAACACTCCCCACACAGTTAACCCTTTGATTGACTAAAAAAGTTAACCCCTTCCTCCCCAGTGCCATTAGTACAGTGTCAGTGTTTTTTATTTTTGCCCCTCCCTGATGGGGAGGAGAACTGTTTTGTTTACCAACAGTTCTCCCTGTCAGCTCAGGCACACTGCTTTGGATGGCTGTGCACAGCACAGCCATCAAAAGCAGTGTGCTTACAGTGAAGTACATGGACACAGCCCCCCTAGTAAAACACTCCCAGCACACAGTTAACCCTTTGATTGCCCCTCATGTTAACCCCTTCCTGCCCAGTGCCATTAATACAGTGTCAGTGCTTTTTCTTAGCACTGATCACTGCATTGGTGTCACTGGGGATGTCAGTGACCACAAGTCAGTTCCCCCCAGGGGCGGACTGACCATTCAAGCACTCGGGCACTGCCCGAGGGCCCGGGGTCAGTAGGGGGCCCCGTGAGATGACCCTGGTACCTTTCATAGGCTTTTTTGAGTGTGGTTTGAGTGTGGGCGAGGACACAGGGGCCCCATGATCCCCTATTGCCCGGGGGCTCCATGAATTGTCAGTCCACCCCTGGTTCGACATTTGTCTACAGTGTCAGAATGTCCGCCGCAGTCCAGCCATAAGTCGCCGATCGCCGCCATTAGCATAAAAACAATTAAAAATCCAGTATCTATACCGCCATTTGTAAATGCTATAACTTTCATGTAAACCAATTAATTTACACGTATTGGGATTTTTTTTAGCAAAGACATGTCACAGAATACATTTTGGCTGAAATTTATGACATTTGATTTTTAACTTTTTTTACTGGACATGTTTTATAGCAAAAAGTCCAAAATATTTTTTTCTCAAAATTGTCGTCTTTTTTTTTTATAGCGTGAAAAATAAAAAAACACACAGGCAATCAAATACCACCAAAAGAAAGCTCAATTTGTGGGGAAAACAAAGATGTAAATTTCATTTTGGTGCAGCGTTGCATGACTGCTCAATTGTCAGTTAAAGTAATGCAGCGCCGTAACACAAACCGCTTATGTAACCCGCATCCTGACCGCCCTATAGCAGAAATACTGCTACAGGGTGGCACAGATGCGCAAAATCACATATATATATATACACATGCTACACATATATATTATGCCCCTCCCAGATGGTGTCAGATTGCCCGTCAGTACACCAGTCATCACATTTAACTCCTTGATTGTCAGGAAGACGCTCATACACAATAAACCTCCATTGCTAGTATAGTGTCTGAACGGATCAATATCTTTGATCAGATCAGCACTATACCAGCGTTCACATTAGTATAGTGTACCCAAAAACGCAGCGTTAGCGGGATCAGCCCCGACACCTGCCAGCACCTGCGTTTAGCCCCTACGCTTACCCCCCCCCCCTTCTCCCCCAGCAAGTGCAGTGTCAGTAGGTTGCACACAAAACCGCAGTGTTGGCAGAAACAGGCCTGATCTCTGTTAGCACTTGTTGGTAAATTCTGATGACTCTCATATGTAGCAGAGTGCCAGTACTAGTGCCGCGC